CAAATACTAGATAAGTTCTTGTGGTTATATAAATCTGTTAAAATTAGGTAACAAGAAGTTTATTTGGAAAGATCCAAATAAAGAGGTAACCAGATCTTTGACAACTCTACTGTAAAGGCTAGGTTGAAGAAATGAATATCAAAATCATAATACCTAACTGTAATAGCCAGACAGGCAAGAACTTTTAGGTTAGAAGTCTTAGAAATATTATCAATCAGACCATTAGAATGAACTAAAGAAAAAAGATATTGGGTTGATCTAATATACTGATAGACTGGTCATAATCTTACATAAACTATTTGGATTAAAAGTTTGGTAAAAAGGCTAGACAAAAGACAGAGGTATACTAAAGTATTAGGATTATGCTATGAAATATATACTAGGATCTGTGTGAACTCTACAAGGACACAGCAGGTTAATGGTTAAGCCCTAATCATAAATGATAGTTCTGTTATAACAATACCTAGGTTAGTTATAAAAATAGGTATAAAAGGTTTTGAAAGGTTTATCTTGAGAATAAATTAGTTCTAAGGTTAAGATAATAATCTGAACATCTGAGTATAATTCAATAAGTTAATACAGGTTACAGGTTTAGAAGGTTTAAAGTAGAACATTTAAGCAGGAATGTTAGATATGACAATTGGTAGAGAACCTTCAGTAAACTTCTTAAATAAATAATATAAAAAAGTTATATGTGTAACCAATTGTACTTTCTCTTATAGTAATTCATAGAAATTATATTACCAATAAGTCATTAATAAAAATCAAAAGATCAAAAAGGTCACCTTAACACCAAAAATATATATATATATATTTATTTATAAAAAATGTTTTAAATTAAAAACTCCAAAATATACCTTTGAATATACTTAAAATTTTTGCTATATATTTACTCTAGTTATACCAATTTTATGTATACATATAAAATAACATTACAATGCTATAATAATAAATTTTAATATTTATTTTTTTGTTTTTTAAAATATGATATTATAATTATTTTTAGTGATTTAGTATATAAATTTTGTTAATTGTTTTAAAGGATATTATTATAAGAACAAAGTTTATAATTTAATTTCTTGCAATCTTAATCAAATATAAAAAGAAATCATAAATTTGTTTCTAAATCATAAAATTTTATTAAAAATAAAATGTGTCACTAAAAATAGATAAATTAAAAATTTTTTGAATCTATTGTACAGGTTATACAGTTTGCAAAGGCCTATATTATAGTAGTTTGCTACTAATGCAAGCCAGAATTATACCACAAACTAATGTAATATGAAAATTTTTAATTCTTTAGAATTTAAAATTTTAAAAAATTTGAGTTGATACTTAAAATTTTATATCTAAAATTTTACGGGTCTCCGCCCTGTTTTTGAGATATATGTAGTATCTGGTGATGATCACTAGTGGTGATAAAATAGAAAACTACTATCTTAGAAAATAAAATTGCTGTTGATGTAGTTTTAAAGAAATATGGGCTGCCGTCAATAGAAATCAGGCAGATTGACATTTTTTAAAAAAATCAATACTTACCTTCACAGCTCATATCTGATGAATTTTGAAGTTAATTTAATTATCGATATCCATAGATCTCAAGCTTTCTTTTAATATTAAATAATTAAACTAGCTTTTAAATTCATCAATATATGAGCTGTGAAAGGTAAGGTATTGATTTTTTTTTAAAATGTTTATTGACGGCAACCCATATTTAGTTCATATGATATCATAACTTCATAACTTGAATAAATTATAATTCTCTGTAACATATAATCTTGATTTGATTTATTATAGTAATGTCATGGCAAAGCTGTTTCGTGGCTCCATGATAAAGCTTGAAGACCAGTTTATCATAAAGCGAAGTTTTATCACGTTTAAATGCATAATGACGAAAGTAGATAAAAATGACGTGGAATTTAAATTTTGTAAGCCATTTAATAATAAATTTCCAAACTTAAACTAATTATTTTGTTATTTTCGAGCACTAAAGGAATTTAATTTCTTAATTTTCTAGATATTTTTAGCACCATAAATCCTCTTTGTCTAAAAAGAAATGGGACGGAAATCAAAAAAAGTACGAAAACGTTTTGTGACACGTAAACGCCAAAAACTTGATAAAATTTTTGATTGTATTCTCTGTTATGAAGAGAAATGCGTTGAAGTCAAAATGTAAATGTGATTTTATACAAAAGTAATGTGTTAAATGTTGCTTGTAATAATTAATTCAAGATTACTATTTAGGCAGATAATTGAAGGCAGAGGTGCTGGATATTTAAGATGCAACCACTGCGAAGCAAGATTTGAATCAGATATCTATGGTTACTATTTTCTTTAGACCTAGCTTGAAATATGGGATTTTTCAATTCTATGATGACAATAGCTAATTTTTAATTATTAGATTTTAGCGATAAGATAGATGTCTATTTTGATTGGGTTGACAAGTTTGACATTACTGGCAGCTATCACTATTCAGATGACGACGAAAATTTAAGCATCCAGCAAAAACCGAAGTCGGTAAATTCAAAAGGTAAAAATCGTGCATCTAGTGATTCATACACATGCGATGAACATTCATATGAATATCCACGAGTTGTTTATGATGATGAAATTGGTGAAGGATCTAATAGTCGACGTCGTAAATGATGCTTTAAATGAACAAAGGCAGACGAAATTTCTAACAAAAAGTGAATGTAATTTTCGTTTTCTATGATTGATTTGGCTTTATTCTTGTAACTGCTCGTAAAGATATAAACATGTTATTGATAATTGATAAACAATATATACCAAAAAATTTCGTGTAACAGTGCTCACAATTAAAATCATTACTACATATATAAAGTATGTACCAGATTGGGTTAGAATTAGGGTTTATAATAAAAAATTCAGAATATCTCGTACTATCACCAAATTTCGCAATTTTCGCGTGACAAATGTCTGGCAGAGGATTTAGAGGTGGTAGAGGTATCAAACGTCGTGGTTTCAGTACAAGGGGTGGCGCCTCAGATTTCGGAAGACGCGGCTTTACAAATGAATTACGAGCAACTTTGCAAAAGGATCTTATTGACGAAAGTTCTAAAGTATTTTTTTTAAAGGCTTATAGATTATTTGTCTATCATAACTTACGTGAACTAATAAGATAATGTTATAGGGATTAGAATTTGAAGATCCGGTAGGGCCGACTGACAACGAACAATTGACTCTTTATGCGTTAATTGGCTACAAAGCGGCTCTCAAAGATTCTGCTTTCTATATATCAGCGCCACCACCACCTACTGGTACAATGTTGTCTTTGGCCACGTTACATCGTTATCGTTTTATGCTTAAATAAGAGTAATGAATGGGTGTAAATATTATGAACTCTCAGACATACAAAGGTATTCGGATCAATTCAAAAAGAAAAAAACACCACATTCTCTGCGAGATATTAAAACAGGTTAATTTATATAATCCTTGCAGAAACTGATCACTATCACATCTAGTGACAAACCTTTGTTATTATAATTAGACATAGCTTTTTTTCCGGAAGAACTTCATTGCGTTAAAGATGAATCACTAGCATCGATAATTTCAACAAACATAGGTTTAAGTTACAAAATTGATATGTACACATACACGCTTAATAAATTGTACTAAAGCTTATATAATATTTAGACAGCCAAAAAAGAGCTACTTTTGATCTGGATCAAACGTTTGGCGACCTTTTAGCTCAAGAAGACAAAGAACAAACAAAAAAACAAGATGTTGGTTTTTTTCCTACTGTATTCACTGCTGCATGCTTTACTAATGGTACAATGAAAATATTAATAATTTGGTTCTAGGCTGTCGTAGAAAATGAATTCGAGAAATATACGGATATGGATCAGTTCCTTCAAGAAGAAGATGAACTAGCGGATGCAACTGATTATGTGGAAAATTACTTTGATAATGGTGAAGGGGATGACTTAGATGATGATGGAGGTATTACTATGATATTTTGTTTTTATGTATTTATGTTTTGTTAATGATCTCATAATGCTATTTAATACCTAGGTGGTGGTGGTGAAGCATACTTTGATTGAAATTATTAGATAATAGCTGTTGAATTTCTTCTTTTGAGTGTTATTATTTAGTCTTTACCTTAAAAAATTCAAATTTACTTGATTTAATTAAAAAAGACATGGTTTGAAAATTTAAGCCATTAGGAATTGTTCATGTTATTTATAACTTAGTTCTAGCCAGTAGGGTTGTTAGTGGAGTAGCTTGTTCCGGAGTAGATCCCAACCCAAGTTGGAGTGGGTTTAAACTTTTATCTTGAAATTTGGATCAACCCGGAGTGAAATGCTGGTGTAAGTTTAATTTACTGAATTGGATCAACCCTACTAACCAGTCATAGGCACTGTTTATAAAATTTATGGAAAAGTGAGATGTTGAATTCATTCGGTTGATATACAAGAACTTTGATCAGCCGAAATTAAATAGATAGTTGCTTATAAATTAACGAATTTATTTACTTCACTTCTATTAGTTTGGCGAAATTTGCAGATAATTTACTATAAAGTCTGATTTATATTGAGGTCTTATATAAGGTAAATAAATATGTGATAATAAGTAAGCTAATTACATAAAGTAGATATACAGAATAAATAAGCAAAACAATAAAAAAAGAAATGAGAGCAGAGTTTAAAAAGAAAATTAGAAAGAATTATAAAAAAGTTAAAAGTAATTAAGAATAATTAAAAATAATATTTACAAAAAACTTGATAGAAAGTTTAAAAGTTATTTTTTTATATTGACATTTTTTTAATCAACATTATTAAACTGAACTAGGTTTAAACCCGGGCGTTGCTCCGGGTTCGAGGTCGTTGTTTTTTTAGTAGGAAATGATATTTTTACACTTTACAAAGTATAATATATAAAGCTTAATTTGTAAATGTTTATATTCAATAATTGCATGCTTAATCTTTCTTTAGTTGCGGCGAATTTCGGGTTTTTTTTTGGGTCACGATCTTCGATATCTTGTAGCACGTGATCACAATTCTGTACTGTATTACTTAATAATGACTCTTAATGTTAGGATAGCACTTAAATTACTATTTAAGGACGTTAATAATGACTCTTAATGTTAGGATAGCACTTAAATTACTATTTAAGGACGTTAAAGATCATTTTTTCTATTACTAGTTTTTCAATTTTATCTACGTACTTCGTACGTACATATTCGAAAAATCCGATCGATCCTAACTAAATATAGTATGCAACTTTTGGGTAAATTTTTTTGTCATATTGTTACAAAATAGATTATTAGCATAGCATAGTATATTATATTATTAGTAGTTATTATATATTTATTATTGTATTTTATATTATATTTATTATTAGTTATTAGCATAGTTATATTATAGTATATAGTAGTTAAATAATAGGATCTTAATTGGCTGTTAGAAGTGTGATACAAACACATGACATTGAGTAACATCTATGATGTTACTATTGTCTTACAAATCTCAAGTACTCTTATACAAATTTCATATATTCTAGTACAATTTACTATGTCAAATATCATAGTATAAGAATTTTAAATATCTTTAATACAATCTTCAAGTATTTTTACACAATCTCAACTGTTTCTGTACAGACTCAAGTATCTTAACATAAGTTCCAAATGTTTTAAATACAAATGACAAATACATATAAATATTATTTCAACTATTCTTATACAAACTCCACTTGTCTCTGTACAATCTCCATTATTTTTACTAAATAAAAAGATATATAAAAAAGTATCTTTTTATCTTTTTTGCCAATTCTAAGTTTTTATACTTTAGCTCAGACATAATGATCTTTTAATTATAAAGTATAATATTCTCTCTCTAAGGTAATTCTTATAGGCAAGATTATCATCATATGTATTGTTAATAAAAAGTTAATTTATATACTATTACTATCTTGAACTGTTTGTCTGCTACTGTATAGTAAAATAAACTATTATACCTCTACCTCATATATATTTGTAATAGTCAATTATTGTATTAGGTGATCTTATTACTTGATTGTATTGTATCAAGAAGGTTGCAATCCTATAACAATATCAAAAAGAATAATAAATAAAATAATAATAAATTAAATTAAATTAAATTAATTTAAGCAAAGAAGATCAGAAAATAGTACAGGAGTTTTTTACAATAGTCAAAAATGACAAAGTTTTGATTTTTATAACTGTTTAGTTAATTTTTAAAAAATTATTACAAAATTTCTAAATAGGATTTTTTTTATAAGTTTAAATAATATATTATAAGAGTTTTATATAATATAATTTAAAAATAAGTTCAGAATTTTTAATAAATATATATTCTTTTTAATTTTTATAACAATAATATTTAAACAATAGTCTTATTATAAGACTTCAGAATATACAATGTTTTGTGTGAGACTGGTTTAACTTATATTTTTTTTATTTTATTTAATTAAAAATATTTTTAATTTTTTTTTTAATGTTATTCTTAAACAGACAACATAGTTGTTCATGAACAAATACTAGTATTAAAAAGTATAAATAATCTAGTTTAAAATCTGTCTTTGTGACTTATGAATAGTCATTACAAAAGTTAACTAAACAGAAAACTGATAATACTTAAAAACAAAGAATAGATCTGTGTTTAAAGATAACAATATTATGTGAAGAAGAAAAACTTAAGTTTTAGAATAGGTTCTAGTAATGATTTTAGTTTTAATAACATGATTCTTAAAAAAATGACAAATCAATCTAGACTTATTACAAAGATCTTTAAAAAGATAAAAATTATATAGTAATATAATTAAAACTTTTAATTTTAAAATTAGCTTATAAAAAAGAAGACTTTCAATATTTAAAAAATTAAAAATATTCTGACAAAAACTGATAATTTATCTTTATTTGTTTTTTAATTGTGTTTATACTAAGAAATTTAGTTGTTTTTTTTAAAAAATTGTATTATAATATTATTATTAATATTATTAATGAACTTATTTTTAAAAGTTAATATTCCATACTTAACCAAATATTAAGATTAGGTGTGGTGACTTAGTGAAATGAATAAGTTGTCATTCTTCTACATTAGCAAAATTTTTAAGCAGATATATATTGATATATAGCATTAAATCGATATATATCGATTAAAAATAATCGATATGTATCGATTAATTGTTATATATTGATATATATCACTAGCGATATATAATGATTATCAATATATAATGATTATAAATGATTATAATCACTATTGATAAATAACGATTTGTATAAATTTCGTTAAATTTTCTTAAACTTTGAATTTAGTTTTCTCGATAACTAGTAATTCAAATCAATTGAAATTTTTACTGTAAATAGTGTATACAT